ACAGGATAAGTTGGTCTACCCCCAGTAGGAAGCATGTGCAGGGGCAAAGAGGGGCACTGGTCACAATCAGAAGCAAAAGGTGTGGAGTGACCCTGCTGGACACTCACAAAGTACAGGCACTTCCCACTAAGAAGGTAATGCAAAAGCTTTCATTATAAAGGCTGGCCCCATTTCTGCTGGTGACAAAAGAGTCAGTGAGTCATTTCCTGCAAACATGTTTTTATGGCCACGATGTGCAAAGCCTTTTGGTGTGTAATGGCAACCTATGATTACTGGGCAATCCCATGGAGGGTGACAGAAAGATCTCTGGGCTGGGAATCAGAGAGCTCATTGTCATGTTGCTCTGGGTCTTCTGACTACAGACTCATCTCAGTCTGGCCCCAGAAGGCTTTCCCCTGGTCTCCTCCTCCTACCCATCCATTCTGCTCTCTCTGGTTCTCATCTTCGCCAATCTACTCCTACACTCCCATTACATAAGCAACACACTCTTCCTGGAATATATGTCTCTGCCTTGTGTTTCCTCAACTCTCAAGGCAAACTCCTACTCATCTGTCAAGCCCCACATCATACCTCCTCCTCCAGAAGCATTCCCAGACTACCTCAGTCACAGTTAGTTGATTGCCTTTCTATACTCCTGCAGAACAGTGTATACATCTCTCTCATAGCAATTAGGAAGTTAATAATAATAATGGCTAAACGCTTACTGACCACTTACTATGTGCTAGGCAGTATTCTGAATACCTTACAAAGATTACCTTATTTAATCATCACGGTAACCCTGTGAGATAGGTACTATTATCATCCTCATTTTACAGAAGATGCTACCAAGGATCAGAGATACTATGTTACTTGCCTAAGGCCACAGAGCTATTAAGTGTCAGATTGGTGCCTAAAAAAAAATGTCTGGCACATAGCAGGTGCTCAAAAATTATTCATCCTGTGAATGACTAAATAAATGAGTGAATACATACAGAGGTAATTACATTTCTGTCTTGTCTATAGAAAGCCCAAATGAGAACCACCTCTTACTCATCTTTCAGTCCATCTCCCCTGTCAAATGCCTAGTAAGGTGCAAGGCACTAGAATATCTGCTGAATGAATCAATGTACGCACAAAAGAACATTTACGCAGATCAATAAATAGCTCAAATCCAGGCAACACCACCCAATAGTTGTGGAATCCTAGGTTAAGAGTTTCAGCTTCCTGGGTCCCTATTTGTTATGTGTCAAATACAGGGCTGGTACATGATATTCTTTAAAGCAGCTATCAGCATTAAAGGTACAAACAAAATAAATGAACAGAGACTAATATGGGAATACGGCAATTCCCATACCAAACTGTGTAATGCAGTTCCTTCTGGGTTATTGTCCTCAGTAACACAACCCAATTGGATGTAATATTTGATCCAGGTATTGCTCTAATGCAAAAGCCATTATCAGTATGAAAGGAGTTAATTTAGCGTGATTCTTGGTTCACTCAGTTATCATATAGAGTCATACACAAGAAGAGAATCATTAAGTGCCAGAAAAAGTCCTGATAAATAATAATCAATAAAAAACAATTCCGAGTTAGGTTATGCAATTAACAACTGAGCCACTTTAGTGACCTTTCCAGTCCTTTTCCTTGTCGCCCAGAACCTCCACCAGACCCCTTCTTCTCCACATAGGTCCTGGTATCTTCCCCCACAACACATATACTCATTGCTGGCAGGAAGAAAACCACACTGCACCTTTGCACATTATGTAGGGGACCAGTAAATTCATATTAAATGCTAGAGCGTAGGTCCACTCCAGACAGTGTTGAGACATATGAACCTCATCAGGAGGGGTTCTGGCTGAATTTTATTTATTCACACTCTACCTGTGGCTAATTGAGAGCTTGGCTATATGCCTTGAACCTGACACACCTGTGTGTACATGTGTTAGCATAAATGATCAGCCACATGCTCATTACTATACCAAATGAGCTATGAGAGCAAGACAGGGCCAGTTCACATCGGAAGTGAGGGAGGACATAAGTTCTGCATGGTGTTCATACAGGACTGTGTTTTGCTTAATTCATAAGTAGGAAAACACTCGCCTCTTAGAGATGGGTATTAGCCATCCACACATGAATCCAACATGCAGAGGACCTATACCACAACTAAATACAGATGAACAGTCACTGTTCATTTACCTATTGTTTATCTGTCCCACACTATAATATCCTTGGGGACTTTATTCTTCCTCATGTCAATCATGTGATGTTTGACAGGGTTGTTAATCACAGTAAATAGTTCTTCTGGCTTTGGCCACAATAATTGGCCCAGAGGTAAGCCAATCGCAATTCCTTCCAATTGCGATTCTGCCCCCCACCCCACTGCCATTTTGAGCTGGAAGAGAAATATTCTAGCCTTTTGGGTCACAGAATTATGACCCTCTAATTAGAGGCTACCAACATGGGGGAAATCTGTTTGCAGCAAGGGAAGAATGGAGCCAACATAGAGCAAAGCAACCAGAGATGGAAGGGAGGGGAAAGGATGGGAAAGACTGAGTGTCTAGACCCTCCTATTTATATGAGTTAATGATTTCCCTGTTGAGTTAATGACAGCTTGAGTTGGATTTTTGAAATGTGCAGCTGAAATGGTCTAACACAGTCATAATTTATACAGACAATGCATTTTCAAACGCATCTTTGTTCCTAGGAATCTAGGTTGTTTTTAGGAGATGGGCTACCATGCATCTGAAATGTCTTTGTTCCTTTTCATAAGAAAGGCATAAAAATTCCTGGGCAAGAACCACTCACACTCAGCATCACTAACTAGAGATGTTTTTTTTTTTTCCTTTGCATCTCAGAGGACAACAGTGACCTGCCAACCACAGGATGCAAGTCTGCTTCTATTTCGAATAGGTAAAGCAAATAGGGGTATGGCCAGACAGGCGAGTCAACTAGCTGATGGTTTTTGAATGAAAGACATCTGCATGGTGATCAACGTTCCATTCCATTCCTCTGCTCACTGACTCCCTTAAAGGCCTATCTTGAGAACACCAAGAGTCCCTCAACAGCCAGAAAGTGCTGAGTGTATGGAGCAAAGGCATTTCACAATACAGCAGGAGCTCTGAAAACCTTCCATGGGAGAACATAGTATATCCTAGTCTATAAGACCCTGAAATCAAGCTTTTAAAAGAAAGTCACCACATACAATTATTGAGATGGGGGTTACTTTGAGAGCTTCAAGTTTCTTCCTCCTGACTATGGCCCCTGGTCACCCTTCAGGTCTGGAATTGAACTCACTCCCATGGCTTCCAGCCAAATAGACAGGTGTACAAGGTGAACATTTATACCAAGTAGGCGCACTCCTTAGAACAATCAACCATGGGAGAGCAGAAGGGCAGTATTTACACAGGGAGATAGCTCAGGGGGCGGAATGCATAGGAAAGAAGGACACAGGGAAAAGGTAAGCACAGGGAGGAAGTGGGAAGAGAGCTGTTACATTATAGGGATTCCAACCAATGTCATGAAATGAAATGTGCATGAAAAGTGATTTTGCTTTGTAAACTTTCACCCGAATCACAATAAAAAGAAATTTTTTAAAATAAGTTTCTCCCTCCACTAACTTTGAAGAGTTGCCTACTGGACTATGAACCATGAAGTTAAAACAACTAGGAAGGGGGACATGGATGGGAGTGGCACTCAGGACACTGGTCCCATACTTTTCTTCTTCCTTTTTTTTTTTTTTTTCCTCCCCTCTAACACTCTATCTCCTCTGCCTAAGGTTGCATCTTGGCAGGTCACATGCAGGTACTGCCTGGATGGCTGGTATGCTCTGGGCTGAAGTGATTGGTCTGTTTCAACCTCATGGAATGCTCCTCCTATGCCCTGTACAGTTGGTGCACCCAGGCTCGGAGGAGCTTGGCAGTTGTCTCCCCAGGGTAATGGAAAGCAGCTGTATCCCACAGGGGACTCAACAACTTTTCATCACCAAAACAAAACCACAACAGTCCTGATTGCCATGGAGAGTTCAATCCTCTTGTCCTGGGATTGGCACTGACTGGAATTCCAAGAGTTCTGGCTGAGCTACCTCCTGCAAGGTGGTCTAAATACAGCATGCGCTCTTTTAACCTGAACACACAGCCTGGACCAGTGCCAGCGCTGACAGACCCCTAAGGTCAGCAGGAAGTCTTGACTTCTAGCTGCCCATTCAGTGGTGGGCATTTTAGAGATTCAGAGATGTGATGTGCTGGACAGCCCTATATTCACTGATGCTGCACATGGCCAGACAACCTGAAGAAGTAACCAGCTAAGTTAAATATAATTGTGATCCTAGGCAGAGAAAAGTATCCTGGGTTTGGGGAAATAGAGAATGAAGAGGTATGAGAAAGAAGAGAGAGAGAGGAAAGGCAGTAAGGATCTACTTATTAGCCAATTAATTAAAAATCAGGGGATCTTTCCAAAATGTTTGCTCCCAGGGAAATACCATTCCCTAATTATTCCTTTCCATGGAATTTTGGGCTTAAGCTCTGGAATCAGACACCAAAGTTGCCTTGTAGTTGTGTGATTTTGGGCGAGTTAATTATCCTCTCACTTGTCACATCTCTAAAATGGCCTTAAGGACTGCTACAGGTGTGCCAATGTGATCATGTACATAAAGAGCCCAGCACACAGAAGTTGTTCAATAAATAGTGGCTACTGAAAATTATACTAGTAGTGGTAATAGCAGTAGAAGTAGGATAACATCAAGCTTTGCTTGACTCCTTCAACCTTGCCTTTGGTTTCTCTGCACACGAAGTGTTGCTGAGGCCATCACAATAAAATGGAAACTTTCAGCCAGGATAAGCTGTGCATGTATAGATAAAGGAAATAGACCCAGATGAATGTTGAATTCAACTGAGCAAAATTACACAACACTCACATCTACAACTATTAAGAAATTCAGGATAGCAAAATGGTAACAGATTCCTAATTTCCCAATAAGTCTTACCCATGGGGTAAGAAATGTCCTAATGGGGGTTTCTCCTTACCTTGGTGTTCATACATGACTTTCCTCGCTTATATTCTTTATGAGACCCACGCTTGTCCAATTTGTGCCATAGGGCTTTGGCCTTCCAGGTGGTCACCTTGGACTTGAGCTTACAATAGAAGTTCCTGTGGTCCAGAGGATCTAGGTCCAGGTGTCGTGTGAGGATGTTGAAGGCCTGGAGAGTGCCTTTGCACGTGGAAGCCTGGACAAAGTTCTGAAAAATCTGCCCAGCCTGGGTCTGCTTCTCATCTTCATTTTCTGCCATGTCTCAGCAGCCGTGTAGAGCAGCGGTGTGGAGGAAACAGAGGAGAACACTATGAGGTACTTGGAGAAGTCACACCTGGAAAGGTAAGTGGAGACAGAAGTCAGATTTGTGAGCAATGAGGGTAGGATGGATAAACAGGTGCTGAGAAGCAACATCCTACCAGATTTTAAAACATAAACTATCTATAGAAAACACACAATCATGCCTTCCAACCTGGCAATGCTGCCTTGTTGGCAAACTCTTTCTCTCCAACACCCCACTTTTCTCACCAGCTGAAAAGCTATACTCTGGCAGATATCAACATTACATGGTGCGGTGTAGTAAATTACTTAGTGTGGCTTTTCTACCCATAAGTCTTTGTAAACTCTAAGGTGGGAATTGCTATTAGCTACGGAGGAGATCCTGATTTTAAAGTCGCCCACCTGGGTTATTTCTGTTGGGCGTGGCACAACACAATGTTCTGGGAAGTTCCTACTCTCTCTCACGTGCTTAGGGTTCTGATGCTGTGATTGGCTAGTTTGACCACCCTTCCAGGCTCAAAAGGAGGCCTCCTGGAGGCAGAACTCTCTCTGACTGCTGGTGGAGGAAGACGTGCTGCCGAAAGAGACACGCACCCCTGAAAGAGACACGTGCTGCTGGGAAAGAGCCGCAAGAGACACGCATCACTGAGTGAGACACCGAGGGACCAGCACTGCTGGAAAAGACACTGTGAGAGACTGTTGGCCGAGGGACGGTGGGCTGGGAGAGAGACTGAGCGTTCTTCCTGGACTTGAGTTGTAGCCTGGTGCTTGCCTAATAAACCCCATAATCTGTGAGTTCTGTGTGGCCACTGCAGTGAATTATCGAACCCAGGAGAGAGGTGGTGGGTGCCTTGGGAGGAACGGTTGGTGAAAGGGCTGGAGGGAGGCAGCATGTCTGGCCTTGTAGTAATAGGCCTTGGGTTACTGCTGGTAATCCTGCCTTCCCCTTGTAGGGTTAGAGGAGGTCAGAACATGTGGCCTCCTTGCCGTTTTTGCACATGGTCATCGTGGGATAAGCAGATGGTTCTAGAAATGGTAACTAATAAAAGCAATAACAAAAAAAAAGTACACTAGATTTAGCACCACTGAAAGCCTATAATTCTTGGTGCTTCAAAGTGATTGACTAATATTAATGTGACCTAGCCACATTACCTTGGTACGTGACAAAAAAGAAATCAAAGCACATTCCTCTCTAGGTTTCACGACCATCCACCTATCCTTAGATGTCCTAAGTTTGAGGTCTTTCTTCATTAGTTACAGAGGGTAAGTTTATATAGATGACAAATGCTCCTCCTCAAAATTTTCATCTATTCCTGGTGTCTTCCAGAAGCACATGGTCTACCTCAGTCAGAAACACAGGACAGAGAGACATATGGTCCTCCTCTTGCCAACATGCAAAAGAAGTCCCTGCTGTGTAAGCCCAAACTGGGAGTGATTTAGAACAATATTTAGGCTGATGGAAGGGAAAAATGGGATGGATGTTCATTCACATCACAAAAATAGCTTGCCTGGGTTTTGGTCGTGCTCCTCTTTCTCTGCACTCTAACCTCAGGCATCTTAGAAAAGTCATTTAAGTTTCAAAGAAACAAAAATAAATTAGAACTTATTTTCCAAAGCACCAGCTAGTTTTCCTGAATCCAAAGCTAATGCAATAAGACAAGTGTGGAGGAGCTGGGGGAAGGGTCTGCAAATAAGAGGGCATGGCAGATTGAGCCGGGCAAGAGGTCAGCAGACACACAGAGCTTGAGGCCTCAGGCTGGGCAGCTTCACATGCTCCAGCCAGGAATGTTGACTGTGGATGCATTTGGATCGTGGGATGGCTTTATAATACTGGAAAGCAAAGAGTGGTGTTTATCTTCTTCCTTAATCCCTTATTCATTTAACAGCAATTACTGAGTCTTTGGTGTAGTGCAAATGGTTAACACTCTTGGCTGCTAAACAAAAGTTTGAGGTTCAAATCCACTCGTAGTTGCCTTGGAAGAAAGGTCTAGTGATCTGCTTCTGAAACCCAGCCATTAAAAATGCTGTGGAGCACCATTCTACTCTGACACACATGGGGTTGCCATGAGTTGGAGCCTACTCAATGGGAGGAACTTCTTTTGAAAAAAAGAAAATAAAAAATTCCAGGTACCATGCTGGGTTCTGGGGATTCAGAGATAATGAACACAGGGTCAGGTCCAGCCTAGTGAGGAAGACAGATCAATAAAGATTCGATTCCAAGACAACAGGCAAGTGCTTGTGGAACTTGAAAAAAGCGCATGGAAACCCAGAGTGGGAAATGTACCACAGAATCCAGATCAAACCAAAACCAAACCCACTGCCATCAAGTTGATTCTGACTCATAGCAACCCTTCAGAATAGAGTAGGAGTTCTAAGGCTGTAAATCTCTATGGAAGTAGACTGCCTCATCTTTCTCCCATGGAGCAGCTGGTGGGTTCAAACCACCAACCTTCTGGTTAGCAGCCAAATGCTTTAACAGAACCCAGAGGAGTATAGTAAGCTGCAGTTTTAGGAACAAAGTATATTCACCAGGAGAAGACTAACCCCCGAACCAAATCCATCACTGTCAAGTAGATTCATAGCAACCCTATAGGACAGAGTAGAACTGCCCCATAGAGTTCCTTGGCTATAATCTTTACAGTAGCAGACTGCCACATCTTTTTCCCACAGAGTGGCTGATGGGTTCGAACTACTGACCTCTTGGTTAGCAACCAAGCACTTAACCACTGCACCACCAGGGCTCCATAGGAGAAGACTTATTCTTGTTGTTGTTGTTATGTGCCGTCAAGTCGGACCCGACTCATAGCAACCTCTCTTTGGGTTTCCGAGGTGGTATCACTACGGTAGTAAATTGCCCAACCTTCCTTCCAAGGAGTGGCTGATGGGTTTGAACCGCCAGGCTTCTGAGGTTAGCAGTCAAGTGCCTTAAGGCACTAAGCTACCACAGCGCCTAGGAGAAGACTAGGGGATGCATATCCAGATAAAGGAAACACCATTCAGATACAAGTCTGGAAAGAGCCAGCACACTGGAGGGATGACAGCACACTGTGTGTTGGGAGTTCAGGACTGATGATATGGTGTGGGGTTTCCAGGGCAGACTCTAGCGCTAGATCTATATCATGCCGAGGAGGGGAGCCTGGCTTCTCAGTGGGTCAAGGGGAGCAGGAAAGGAGCAGCAGGCTGACATGTGAACTTTGAGAAAACGAGATGGTAGAGGGTAGACTGGAGAAGGTGAGGCTGCGACAAGAAGGCAGCTAAGGGGCTGCCCAGGTAGTAAGTAGTAATGCAGAAAGTCAGAGATCAAAGCTGGTGGAGCAAGGGGAAAACTTATGTTTATCTTTTGGGGAAAGAAAACACCCAAAAGAATATAAATGCCTGCTGGGTACCACCCATCAGGAACAGTCTGTTAGGGGCACACAAGTTATGCAGGTACCAGCCAGCAAGATACTGGAGGCCCAGGGCAATACCAACAACACCTATAGGACCCTTACCTTCCTTCCTTCCTTCCCTAGGAGCTTCCAAGATGCCTGGCACTGTGCTTGGCTGAAGGGAGAGTAGCATATATTCCTTCCTCCAAACCTAGCTCAGTTCCACTCCCTGGCCAGGTCTCGGTCCTCCATGATGCCATACCTGGCTACTCTGCTCCACACAACTCCACAAATCCAACAAGCTTGGAGACATGGCTCTGCTTTGCATGGATAAGACATGAACTCGTGCTCACAGATGTTCTCTCAGCTCCTTTAATGTCCATAGCGCTCCCTTTGGCATCGCTTACATAAACACTGCCTCTTACTGTGCTTCAACTTTTCCCAAGTACATAACTTGCCACCCGGAGAGCATAAACAGAAAGCAGGACTGGTCTGTTTTTCAGGACACCTTAATATTCTCAGTCTCATCTACCTTTGGGACCACTTCAGTGCCCAACACTGAACAAAGTAGGCAGTAGCAATTGACAAATACAAGTCTAATTGAATTCAACCAGTATCCTGCAGAGTTGCTGGGTGACACAAACAGTTAAGGAGCTTGACTGTTAACAGAAAATTACAGCTGGAGTCTACCCAGAGGAGCTTCAGAATAAAGTCCTGGCAATCGACTTCTGAAAAATCAACCACTGAAAACCCTATGGAGTCTACTCTGACACACGTGGGGTTGTCATGAATTGGGATCAACTTGAGAGCAAGTGGTTTGGTTTTGTTTGGTATCCTGCACTCCCTTCTGAGGATGAGCAGGTGGTGCCAAATGTTTTGGAGCTACTCAAGCCTGGGTCCAAAACGCAGCCCCTCACCATCCATGCAAGCTACTTGTACAAGCCACTTAAACTCTCAGCCTCAGTTTCTCTTTTTGCAAAAGACTGATGATAATCCTGACCTTGCAGGGCTGCTGTGAAGGGTGAGATCCATGTTTGAAGGCAAAGCCTGGCCCTGTGAGGTTCTCAGTAGATGCAATAATGCATATTGCATCTATCAAATGGGGCAGATTTGGGTCTAGGGAAAGCACCAGTTTGAAAAACAAGACACTTTTATAAATCAGTTCTCTGGGTTGCCAACTCCTCCTCGTCTAAAATAGTGAATTGTTTAGAGGCATGAAGCCAGATGACTCACAGAGAATAATTTACAAGCTGGAAGAACCTGTCTCCTTTCAACCCCAGTTGTCTCCCTTCCTTCCCAAGAGAAAAATGAACGACTTAATCTTAGGGCCCCAGTGGAAAAAGAGCCAAAGGTGGTGCTGAGAGAGGTGGGTAGCCTCTGGAGTTCCAGGAACTAGCCCTTATCTAGAGTGAGATAAGAGGAGGTGGAGGGAGATGGCTTGAAAAGGGATGATAAGCACAGCTTTGGACATGCACCCTGGTAGCCGTACCAGGTTCAGACCTACCTCCCTGGACCTGAACTCTCTAGTTAAAAACCTTTCAAATCAACTTTCCAATTTAAGTCAAAAATGCTAAAAATTATTCTAATGCTCATGCAGAAGAACATCAGAATATTTAAAAATTTAAAAACAAACCCATTGTCCATTGAGTCAATTCTGACTCATAGCAGCATTACAGGACAGAGTAGA